CAAGGTTAGTCAATGGTTGCTGTTGAAGGGACGTTCATCTTCTTATGTCAACCTTGTTGGTCCAATGACATTGAGAAGATGTCCCTTTTAACGTCGTATGATGCAATAACGATTAGCGTACAATCGTATCGTTTACATATGAAGGATACATTTGTATACACGAGTAGAATAAGAGACGATGACAAGAAAGATGATGAGGCAAAGGAGAGAACAGATACAGAAGAGCAACGGAATAAGAACACATAGATCAGAACCATATGTATCATATACAATTGAATGGGAAGCGCATTACGACAGATAGAGAACAAGGTTCCATCATGGGTAGATAAACGTAAGAGTTACACGGTTAAGAACGTACGTATCATTGATTGTACAAGAGCACACTGAGAAAGATAAGATATCACATGGGGTAATATGCTTATTGGCACATGTGGAGTGTGAGTATGGGTGATTAAAGGAGAATAACCAACACCCACACCCCGTCAATGTTTCCTGAAAAGCCTTTCTAGAAAGCAGAGGTTAGTTTTGACTTTATGTTGCACTTATTCACTATGTCAAGCAGAAGAAAGTAGAGTCATTTGTTAATTGATATATAGATAAATTAACTCTTCGTAGCTTAATACAAAAATAAAAGTGATAGAAAAAGCAACTGTAGAAAGAAGTCAATATTTTTTGGGAAGAAAGTTTTTTCTTCTATGGTGAAAATTATGTTTGAAATAGGCATTGTCGATAGAGAACTTAAGTTGTTACTTTTTCAATTAAAGATATTGGATTCCACCTAGTAAGAATGCAGTTTCGTGTACAATGTCACTTTTTTTTGACGTCGTACAGCTCGACTAGAGTTTTTCTGAACCTGCTATTATAGTCTTTATAACTTGATAAATGACCACCGTTCAATCCGTAAAGTTTTCGTGAAAATACTTGATCGAGTGAAACAAAATATGAAGTGCCTGAAAAACATTTTTTGACACTTCACCAATATGACAATCGCTCAGATGATCAGAATAGTCGTACAATATCTGACTTCCTTAGGAATACGAATAGTTTCTATGAAATTCACACAAGTAACAAGGACCCTGCCGGATTTCTCAACTTATTCATTTCGAAAAACAAAATACAGGGTTTTGTAGAGCTTGAAAAGTTACATCTAATGGTGTATAAATCAGATTGGTTCCTGTTCAATTTTAAGAATTTT